ACCAAAGACAACCTGACGACGAAATACTCTTACTAACCCTGGTCGCAAACAATGAAAAGCCAACGCGGGCTATACGGCACAAAAGTTTAAATCCTTTATATTCATGTGGAAGCAAATAAAAGTGGCAAATTGACTACGCAGATGTTCAACATACTTCTGCTGCAAAGGTATCAGAACCCGTCTCTTTATTGCCAGCTCGACAACCTTGGGAATTCCGATGGGCAGGGCAGACTCCGGCACAGTAGACTCCAACTCCTGCAGATGTCGAATGCACATATTTCCGGCTAATTCATAGCAGTCACAGATTTCTGGAGACATGACAGTCTCCGCCTTCGAGACAGTATGCTCCTTGCTTAGGCCTAAATTTAAAAAAAATAGACTGCTCGGGAGAAACTTACCCAACATGGCCAAACCTTCGCAAAGCAGGCGCACAAAGCGTGCAGTGTAGGACTCGATTTTAGCATTCTTTAAGTCGACAGCATTCAGGAGTTCCACAACATCGGCATACTTTTCCCGAATAAATGCAATCTTAGCTTTCAATACCAGAGCCTCTAAACGATACTGTTCGTCAGAAGCAGTGCGCAGAGCATCTTCCGCGGCTGATTCGGCACCCACAAAGTCGATTGCTGAAGAGCAATCCTTTTCGGATGGCTCTAACTTATTTTCACAAAATACGAGATGAAAGAGGCAGGCTGCAAGGAAGAAGAAAAGGCAGAATGAGAGTTAATGGGGCAGAACAAAATACCAATTGATCCGCCACGTTCGCCTTTGAGGGGGTAGGCTTGTTCCAAGGCCTTCGTTAGATTGCCTTCAGCCCGGTTCCGTTCAATCTCTAACTCTAACCGTGTCTTTCGTGCACGCGTTGCCCTTGCAGCACACATTCTAAAAAAGACAAAATGACAGAGGGAGGGCGTGACGGGCGATCGACGCAAGAATTCTTAAGCTATTTTTGCACATGCACTGAGTTAAGAGAGAGAGAGGACCAAAGGGATTAAAGGTAAGAGAATAATCAGCCCAGGTTCTAACGGGATAAAGATTCTGCCATTTCGGAAGGTCTAAATAGTGTCATACTACTTTTAATACGTGAGTAGCCGTTCATGTGTACTATTTTTGATTAGCCGGTGTCTGCCTGCTTTTAGCCTACAATTATGTCAGCGATTTCTTTATTGAATTTTCCCTTCGCATTAATGCTTTTTATAGCCGCTTTGTAACCGAAAGGGAGCTTAAATTCGACCGCATATCTTCCTCTTAATAAAACTGAACCCAAAAATCTCACAAAGACGAGACAGTACAACAACATAATAGTTAGAGGGATAAATGCGAGGGTGGCAGAGGTTTGGTACGTCGACTGCCTTATAGACTACTGTTAGAACTGTTGGTCTATTCGTTTTGCAGCTCGAACAACTGTTAGTACTGGTTGAACAGCTTCTCGAATAACTGTTCGAATTGTTGATCTATTCGTTTTACAGCTCGAATAACTGTTAGAACTGGTTGAACAGCTTCTCGAATAACAGTTCCAATTGTTGGTCTGTTCGTTTTCCAGCTCGAATAACCGTTGATAATGCAATATTTCTTAATGCTGTGCTGCGTTTCGTCACCTGAATAG